CCCCTTATCAGTTATGCATTCTTGTGTCTGATTATGGCACAAATTTTATTGCGGAACAGGAGTGGGCTTATTTCAAAAGATTCAACTAATGCGGTTAGAGTTGGATTCTTGAGACACACCATTTGTTTATAGCGCTCTAGATTCGCTGTATTCTTAGAATTATTGGCTTCTTGTATAGCATATATGTTAATACGTGAATCAGGAGATAATGCCGATAGCATAAAGTACTCTACAATTGAAGTACACTAAGTTACTATGTTTCAGAAACTATTGATGCAGTGCACCTCACTATTTATCCGCTTTTTTATCACCTCCTTTCCCTCTATTCTCAGCGTCACTCAGCTCAGGAGTTACTGAGGCATCCGTTTGTGAAGAAGCCCCGCAAAACCGTCTATTTGCAGGAGCTCATCGAAGCTTATCGCGCTGCCCAACATCGTGGTGACTTAGATGATGACGACGATGATGGAGATTTGTAAGTTGGCCCTGTTTGTGTTCTTTTTTCTCCAAGGAGGGTGTATCTGATTTGCCTAATCGTAACGCCGTGAGGGAGATTAGTTCATCTTCATTTAATTAAGCGACTGTCTTCTTGTCAGGATGAAGACGCGAGGAAAGCAAGATTGAATAATTACCCCCACCCCACCCTTTTTCCGTCGTCTTTACTTTTATATGGTTGAATAATTAAAATTAATGATGGAAACACTGTTGGATAGATCCTCATTCTGGATCATCAATTTGACTAATGTTCATTGCCAGACAATCCGTATTTGTGCAGTGTCTGCATCTGCTATGGTTGCATCCCTATATGCCTTTGTGCAAAACTGTATTTGGCAAGTCTGCCCAATCCTAGACGTGTATTCATGTTAGTGTTCGTTGTTCACGCCAATTTCAGGTGATAAAGTGGGCAATAGTTCACTCATCCTCCAAATAAACAGCTGAGAATCATTCTGGATCATACTTTCTATCCTAAAATAGAAATAAGTATTTGAAAATAGCAGAACATTTTAATGTGGGACCTTTGCAAGCTGAACCTAATAATAACGGAGGAACTTCATGTATTGATAAGGAACGAGTCTTTCAGGAGACGTCTTGGAGAAAGAGGAAACCTGTGTGCTAACTCGAAATACAAATTATAGTAATAGTTCAGCGTTGGAAGGAAATGAGAGAGGTCCCTGCTGAAGCTTTTAGGGGAACTCCTGCTTGAATGCGTATCATTTTTAGGCAACGCGGACAACGCGGCAGTAATGGTAATGATGTGCTCACCTTCAAATGGGACTTTGGCACAATCAAGATGACCAATTCAGCAGTCGCAGCAGCAGCAGCAGCTGGACAACAGTACGGCAGTGGTGTGGCTCCCCCTGTTGTACCTGCCCACGGCTCCTCATCACCCAAGAAACAGACGGTTGCTCAGCAACAACAATTGGCTGCTTCTTCTGGTGGTTCTGCCGCTGCGGGTCGTACTGGGACCCCACCTGGTGCTGGGTAAGTGCTTCTTCTATACCTTTAATTATCATTAGAAGTGCTCATAGAACCTGACTTAAGTAGAGGAACGGTATCCTAGTGTTGCTCTAATTGTTGAATATTCTTCTCCTGGCTGTACACCGTGGAGCATTAACCTCGCTATCTCTGACTTGCCAGATATTCACGTTCCGCACTACTTTTTTCAAACTCAATCTCTAAACAGTGATAAGATCCGCTTTAATCACTTTATTATCTTAACCAAGATTTGTGACTCCTTTGTAGTTTTTTTAAAAATAGAACGAGGCAAATGATGAGTTACGGAACAATATAAATTCATTTAACTGCTAAACCAACCAACGAAATGCTTGCAACTGCTAAAATTTCTTTTCCTAGCTCTAAGCTTGCTATTTTTATCTATTTAAGATATGGCATAGTTTATACATTGGGAGGGAAGTTTTTTTACCTATAGTCATTGTCCGATTAATATTTAAAATTTCGTCATACCTCACAGACCTGATTATGCTGGTCAACGTCAGTCTCGTCTCTTCCTCGGTCAACAGCCGGCAGCCGTTGCATCACGGTCTACAGAGGCGCTTAATCGCGCTCCACAACCCAGTGCGGTTGCAGCCGGAGCTGCTGCAGCCCTCAACCACCGGTCTTCGGGAGTGTTTGTCAACGATGCACGCTCCTCGGCTAAGCAACAGGTCCCCGCCGCTCCCATTGTCTCTAATCGGCCCAATGGTGAGTTTGAGGCATCGAAAAGTGCTTCCGAGATTGAAAATGTCTGACTTTTACTTGCAATCGTTAGTGGAACGCTGAATAATTAGGTATTTGTGTGCCCATGACACCGAAAGTTCGCACCAATATTGTCGCTAAATAGATGGGTCTTTTTCTGGAGTTATTTCGGATCTTGTGTTACCTTGAAAGATTAGTGAACTTTTTTCTTATTCAATTTGCTGAAAATCTCCACTAGGGCTGTTATAAATTTGGTTCTCTTATTTCAACTCGGCGATATCACTGATTTATTACAAATTGTGGAATACTTTATTTAAATTAATATTTTTTTAAAAGGTAATGTTCGTGTGATGTTTGCTTATCCTCCCATCGTTTTTAAACGTGTATGTGAGCATTGTTGAGAATGTCTTAATTTCCACTTATCTTGTGCTGTTGGGTCCCAGTCAAGTAAACCATTGCACTTAATTCAGTCTTATGAATTTAATTAACCCAATTTGATCGTGGAGTTGGGGATCACGCAATATTTGCTTCATAGATAGAAACGAAGTGCAATTGGGCGATTTCGCACAAAAATTGTTCCTCAGACCTTCTTGTCATGGGTTACGAAGGCGACATACAAGTTGTTCTAGAGCCTGAATGGAGCTTTGAATTTGTTAGTACTTTTAATACTATAGTCCTTCATTTTACTGTGCATGTATTTTTAATTGCACAATCTAGAACTTTGTGGGGCTGATATTGGTAATAGTAGGTTATTTCCTGCCAGTATAAGCAACTTAGCACATCTAGTTTTTTATGCTTAAATTAAAGCCAATTTTCACACCTTGGTAGTCATTTAAGCTGTCACTGGTTTATAATCTCCATAAACCAGTGTTGAGTTTCATTTTCATGTTTTATATTGCAAGTATTCGATATCACTGATGGAATTCAGGTTCTGACTTGCTCCCTCCACAATTTCTCATCTCCAAGTGTCCTTCAATGTATGTTCTTTTCTATCGAATTTCAGCGGGACCAAGTCGCTATCCACAGCCAGCCCAAGGCGCAGCACATCGTTCTTCCTCAGCAAATCCCCTTCAGAATCCATCCTCGCCTAAATTGGGCGATTTCCACACGCACATTCGTCCCCTTCTAGCTGACGTGAGCCTCCCCCCCCTCTCCCTCGCATACAACTAATTTGCACTAATTCTTTAGTGTTTCTATTTTATGTTATTTTTTTAAATGTAGATTCAAGGAATGTACGAAAATGTGGCTGCCAATCACTCCCCCTGTATTGACTCACTAACGCACTCTTTCGATCGTGTGGACTCGCAAATTTCTAGCTTTACAAAGACCTTCATAATCGAGCTCACTCGGCGTATTCTTGATAATGATCCCAGCATCACTGTAGATCGTAAAGAACAGGCCGTGCGCCGAGTTATGGGGTAAGAGAGAGAGAGATTATTGACGATGAATCATTTTTATCCCGTGAGTTGTTGGAATGTTCACGCGCGTCTCCTACACTTTCTGGCCAAATTGGCTGCTAATTTCAACTCACTTTGCTTTCATTGGTTGAGTCTAACCGCCTACTCACCATTGGATGACAATACTTTCTAAGCCTTAAGGTCGTGCTCCTATTGGGCAACGCTTTGCGCGGGTAAATTTAGTTTGCTATGACTGACTCGGATAGAGCTTCGTAATTCGCTTCCTTTCAAAGGGATCTTTGGCTTGTATTGAAAATTTCATAACTCCGAATTTTATAAACACAAACAATATAAGTGAACGCATTGGATTTATAGTACGCGTGCTTTAAATAAGTGTTTATTTGCCAACATTCTTTTCTTTAGAGTTGTATGGCATTTCGGATCCTCTATTGATCCTCTCTATATCTCCGCTTTGGCATTTATGTTTGTAATGATTTTCGGATTGAGTTTCGCATATTTCCGCCAGTGGTATATTTAGTGCTTACTATTCTTAGCCTTTGTTTTTATGAATCTGAATTTAACCCCTCGATGTACAAAGTCTTCAATTTTTTGATTTAATTTCAGATTGAAACGGAAATTAAGATGATGTTCTAGTGCAAATGTTTGAATAGTGATAGATAAATGTGAGGAGTAATTTTCTGTGTTATAAGCACCCATAATCAGAAATCACTAGACTTTTTTGAAACAATGTACCAAACGAAGCGTTTTTAGCCAATAAAGTAAGTGGTAGAAATGTAATTTCTCGATCTATAATGCCTTAAATATGTTTGTATTTTATTACGTTTGTTACTGCAAAGATTCGTCTGCCGAAATTATTTCATATTCCTATATATATTCTACTGAATTGAAATAAGTAGAAATAATACATTTTCGCGTTTATTTTAGTCAACTGGAATGAAGAAGTGCCTAGGGGGCATAAAAGTGTACTGATGAATGAAGTTGCAATTTTTTCTTTTTCCTGTTCCTTACCTTCTTTTTTTTCCACACAATGACTTTCTTGATGCTAAATGCTGCGTATGAGCAATTCTTTTGTGTACACACTAGCAATGAGGAAAATTACTAATGAAGACTCACCATCTGCTCATTCAACTTTTTTACGCGCGTGTGGTGATACCAATGATTTGCGCTCCCCTACTTTTACTCTTCCCCAAAACTGTTCTCATTCTCCTCAGTGTGTGCGTGGTTTGTTATTCTCTCTCCTACTGTTTGTGTTTCCTTCTCTCCTTTCCCGCACCCATCACCACATCGTCCATCCCCATTGGTGGCCTACTGACTCTGTTCTGATCTCTTCTCCACGCTCTTCCTTTCAGGAACAACTTCACCTTTTATTCCTCCGTGTCTTGTTCTTTTCTCTCTGGTAGCTATTGAATATTATAGGCCAGCGAGGAAATGTGAAGAATAAATGAGAGAATGGCAAATTCAATGCCTATTATGCTACTCTCCTACACCACACTCACACACACACACACACCTGAATGCTTGTCCTGTAATAAAGTTGTAGAGAAATACTTGATCTGGCAACCTTGCTAAAGGTTTTTGTTACATCTATTGCGGTTGAGGTTTGTTACTCCCTCTTAGGTATTAAATCTGAGTGGATTGTGTAGTTCGAGTAGAGCTATTTATGGAGGAAGGCAGAGTGCGGGTTTTAGAATTCAGAAAGGTTATTTAGGTAACATGCCTTCAAGAGCCACAGAATAAAAAGAACAATTAAGCTCAGTTGTGGTCTTAATCTTAAGTGAAAAGGTCAATCCCTTTTGGTAAAGAAGAGTTAAGTTTGTTAGATCAACATGGATAAAACGCAAACAGCGTCGAGAATCTGAGTTCACGCTATGCTCATGTCTGAAATCTTCGAGGTTTGTCAAGTTCGACCAACCTCCCGTGAGAGGGATCCCATTCCTAGGGCAAACTTTAAATTCATCCTCCTCTCGTTTGAGGGCATTCATTGGTACTACTATTTGGGCTCATCTCTATGGAATACTAATTAAAATTACTCGCGTCTCTCCTTAACTTACGTCGGGTATTGGAATGGAAAAGAATGAATCGTTAATAGAATAGGCTAGACTGCTGCTGGGATTCCAGGTCCCAATGGAATAAGATCTAAGCGCATAAAGTGGGGAGGGAGAAAGTTTGGCACTTATTTGGCAGGTGTCTTCGATGGCTGCTGACAAGATTGGGTATCAGAAGTTGGCTGAAAGAAAAGGTGGGTACGAGGGGCACGTGGCCAATGCCGGTTAGAGGTGCAAAAACAGGCGTGCAGATGTCAGTGTGATTATATCGGGACGTTTAACGGCGAAAAGTTTGTATTAGTAGCTACCACGAGTCTGGTTAATTACAAATTGGCTGAGTTATTCTAAGAGCTTTATAGTTTTCCTGATCTGCTTGGAAATCTAAAGTCCGGCACTTTAGTAGCAGTCCACCATGTGCAATTCAGGATTAATTCTTGTTTGACCTCTTCAAACTTGAACAAATCAAGTTCTGTATCGACTGGGAAGATTGCTCAAATGAGCATAATTCCAAAAAAAATCATTCTCCCCTATATTTCTGATTTCTCTTCATTTGCAGAAATTGAACCAATTACTTTGACTCGGAAGTAATTTATCTTATGCACTCATAATGCATTGACAATCATTTAATAACAAAGGACATCTGTTTGTCACCAATGCCTGGACAGCGCTCAGATGGCTAAAGAGATTAGACGATTGCCGAAAACAATGATCTAAATAGAAGCAAGATATCAAATAGTTGAACTTGACATTCTGCGAGTGAATTAAAAAGGGATATATATATATATATATTAGCAAATTCAAAGGCACCAGATTCAAATGTTTTGTTGAAAACTGCATGAATATGCCCTTGGGTTAGTGAAGGATTGGCCTACATGCTGATCACGTCTGCATCACATTCTTATTAACTTCAAATCCAGAAGTGTGGAAATCTTTATGTTTGCTTTCGTTTACACCGCAACAAACCACGTTCCTCCTACGGATCGTGAAGGAGCCATCAGTTTAGCTTCACGAATCTAAAACCCACACATTTGATTGTTTCATCGTTTATGGTCAACCCCGACTCTTAGGAGAAGTACGTTTTCCAAACAATTGAATGGGTCCCGTCATTTTCTACATTTATATAGACTTTTACTGGGTTCATGAATTTGCTGAGAAGATAGAGAATGTGCAATTGTTTTGATGGAAGGCAATATTTTTTGAAATGTCTTTGAAAAAAATCAATATCAAATTGGAATGTAATTTCCTCTATTCATCACGCTGTACTCTGCTTTAAATTTATTAAATGCAGATACTACGTAAACAAGTCGTGAATAAACTTTAACAAATTTCTCTATTCTGACAAAATTCTGGACCATAAATTTGCTCCTCAAATTAGGTGGGAAACGGTAAATTTATGAGAACATGGGACGCATGAAGTGAAAATTTTTATTGCATACATGGTGCCAAAATAGGCAAATATGCTTTGTCAGTTATTTGATTTCATGCAATTCTAAGTTGTGTAACTTTGATCGATGGTTGGCTGAGAGGTTTCAACCCTCACGACCGCGTCTTCCAAAGTCTTCTACCGCGCATGAGTCTACTGGACAACGTATACTCAGACGGCAAAAATTCTATTGTCCGGCAGTTGACTTCTGAATTCAAACCATTATGGCCTGACTGTATGTCATGTTCCACCACTTCCACAGTACACACCTCATCTCTCACATTTTCACTCATCTGTTCCCCTTGCCTTCTAGACTTTTGTACCTTTATTGTTCCTCCCCACTGTGAAGCCAGTAGCCAACTGAAGAGCTAATGATAACTACCATAAAGCCTACAAAGTAACTTTACGTTGATCAATTTTGCAAGCTTTGTGCACTCCAAGCCTTCTGAACAAATACCAATTTTGCACCTATTACTACCGAAATATTCTATTACTGCTATGAATTTCGCCCTTATCGAAGTACATTTGGTACTCAAGAATTAGCAAAAAATTGCGCTATAATTATTTAAAAATATCAGTAGCAAAATCTAAAAAAACAATTTGACTCTTTTACAACTATTTATTTATCTTTAAAATTTATATCCCATGTAAAGCACATCTATTAAAAAACATCACTCTGATTTTCCCACCTTTTCCATCAAATTTTGTAAATATTCTGCAACTCTTTTATGGCCCATTGCAAGAGCCACGTCTTTTGCTGTTCCATTTTGGCAAACTGCGAACAAATTCGCTCCTAAATCAGAAAGCACAGAAGAAACTGGCGTAACGCAAGCCTATTTAAGCACACAGAAAAAAATACCATTCCAAAGTATTACCGTGGATGGCCAGGATCTGGCAAATGAAGAGATGACCAGAAGAAGCGGCTTGCATGAGTGGTGTAAGACCAAATTCATCTCGACTCTCCAGAGGTGCTCCAGCTGTGATCAACCTTGACACCAAAATATCGAATCCATTGCCAGCCGCTATATTCATGGGCGGCATTTGATTGGGCAAACAAAAGCACAAATCAGCACCGCTCGTTAAGATGGCATTGGCGAGAGGTATATTTTGCTTGATGGCAGCGTAAATGAGAGCAAAACTGAGAACCTGGTCTCGCGATTCCTTGCAATGACTTGGTGCATTGACAATGCGATTAAGGAGTTGATATTCGCTCTAGGGTACATATAAGTATATTACTCATCTCTTCATCTTACCTGCGAGGTGGCAATTGTTATAGCGCTTTCAAACTCGTGACTAAGGAGGTATGGTGACGCGCCAGCATCCAGCAATTGGTTTGCAATGTCATAGTGCTTATTATATATAGATAGCATGAGGGGCGTCCAGCCGAGACGATTCTGCTGATCGAGGAGGCAACGCTTTTCAAGGAGAAAATTAACTCCTTCCATAAAACCGTCCTTAGCTGCATAGTGAAGTGCTGTAAATCCGATAGAATTTGGCTGGTCAATGGTGCTGGGATCATTCCTAATGCATTCGAACATGAGCAACAAATCTTTCATTCGTGTTGCTTTTGTAAACAGTGTTTCCACAGACTCGACTCCATTAGGCACGCTCTGCAGTTTAGGGTTCTTTTTCAAAATTGTTTCAGGTTCTTTTTCAGGCCACTCGCAAACAGCATTCAGGTAAGTATTATCTGAGAGCGGACGATATTCACCCATTGGTGAAAAGTTCCCAAACTCGAAACTCTGTGATAATCAATTAAAAAGGTTACTTTTTTAAGAAATAAACATGGTAATTGGCATTGGACAAGGTAATGGTGGTTTGTTCAATTACCTCCTCTTTGCCAAAAGCTAGCAGTTGATCAAAGTCATTTTCTAATGAACAGACCGAAGAATCATTCCTTTTATTTTGGCTCATTTTCAACCGAATTCACCTCAAAACTACAGGATAACGACAAATACTCTCTCATATTATCATTAATTATTATTATTATAACAATAATTTACTAAAAAATTGGAAAGAAAATTGATTTAATACAAAATGTTTTAAGAACGCATTTACCGTTTAGAGTTTAACAAATATGACACGAAAAGTTCTAGGAATGAATTCTTTTAACTTAAAAAATGGTATGATTAAAATTTTGATCAATTTTACGGGAAGTTTAAGACAGCTCTCCACTTGCATGAGCGAATTCGTATAGTAGGGATTGCCAATGCATACAAAAAATGTGGGATTTTTGGTTTTGGTCCTAAAGCTTCGAGTACTACTTCAGTCCATTGCAAGTAGACTTCGTTGATCTCATCATAATACACTAACAATTATATTAACCATAACCATTCCTGAAATCGATTTGCAATACGCGTCTTTGGATATAGAGGAAAAGTATTATCATAGTGGAAAGATCAAAATCAGCCACTGATTTATCAACCCGAAATCGATTGTCGCAGTTGACCATGACCTCTGACATCACAGATGAGGAGATTTTACAAGGCCCATTCTTCCACTCTAACACTGATATTTATCTATTTCAAACAGCAGGCGTTTTGATAGTTATCATTAGCCATTTAGCAGACTTCGGACTTCACAGAGGGGAGATGGAACATCAAAGTAAAAAAAGTCGAGAGGGGGGGGGACAGAATAATGATTCAGAGACGTAACAGAGACAGATAGACAGACAGACGAAAAGGCAGGGAAAGGATAAGATGAGTACTGTGAAGTGGTCGAATATGACATACAGTGGGGTCAGAGGTCAACTGCCGGTTAATACACATTTTGCATTATGAGCATACGTTGCCCAGTGTGCACCACGTGAAGGTAAGTCTATCGCACACCCCCTAACGCTGATATAATTTCATCCAAATATCCGTTCTCAGGTGGTCTGCCATAGGCTCCTTTCCTTAGCAAAATTATCCTCGAACTATAACTAACTACATTCAATTTGCGTCCTTTTACCACGGCCTTTGTCAAATAGTGAGACGTTCAAGGATAAAGATATTTCTTCTCAGAAATTTTCTATTTCCGATAGCTATTTATTTATACTAATGAATATCCTATCAATTTATTTATTTATATCAAATGGCGGGCATTATGATGGCCATCATTAATCCTCTAGTTGAATTCTGGCTTCTGTGGTAACGCGTTATCGCTTTGTGCGTCACCGCATGTCTGCACCCCAGGATTGGGAGGTGCAGCCGTACAACTCTGTGACAGCGACCGTACAAAGAGTGACCAATCCGTAGCCTCCGTTTGTTTAACCTAATCAGCCATCCTGATCATGATCAAGCTCCCTGTGTACACTTTATCCGCAATATCCGTACTGAATAAACGCATTCCGTGCTACACGTCTGTTTCCTTCATAGCTGGGGTATAG